CCCCCCCCCCAGAAAAAGGATGGCAGCCTGAACTCTGACCCCAGGTTTAGGAAGATTTGGGATTCAAACAGTAAAAGTTAGCTTCACATGGGAACTTTAAGATCCTTTTTCCTAGAATTTAGAAGGATCAATTATGAATTTTGAAGAAAAAGACTACAAGAAATGGGATTACATAAAACAAGCTGTTGTCATCTTTGTACTGGTAATTTTAAGCTTGAGTTTGTATATGAATATTTGTGTTTTTGCATGTATTCAAGATGTTAGCTATGCTAAAATGAAATATGGATTCATATAATGTTAGTAATATGGGATAAAGAGGTTTTATAGAGATGTCAAGCTGAGTATTAAGGAAAACTAAATGTTAGGATTAAATATGACACTTGAATATATATAGATGAGGGCATCGTTAAGACAATCAAGTAACCTTAATTCTGGTGTTTCGTAGTACTCTTCGCTATCACTGTAATTTTGGTTGTGATATTTCACTATTTTTTTTTTCTAAGTTAGATTAAAATGATGAAGTTTTGGGGTTTTTTTTGTTTTGTTTTTTTAATTTTTCTCCCTCTACCCATTTTGGCAAGTATTTACTGTAAGACATTTTATTGCTATGCTTATTTACTTTACAGATGCTTTTGAGTGGCAATGCTTTATTTTGCTCAGACAAGTTGCTATTTCTAAAAAAAAGAAACAAAAATTACATGCTCAGGCTGCAATAAGTGTTAAAAGAACTATATTTTTTTGTTGGTGAAGTTGTCCATAATATAGATTCTTATTTCAAGTTATAACTGTCTCTAATAAATATTTTTTTAGGAGTGTTATTCTTTAATTATCAAAGGGTGTATTTTGTTGTATAAAGTAGTTTGTATTCTAATGCAGATTAATAATTAGCATATAAAATATCTTTGGGATTTAATTTTCAATGGAATATAAATATTTTCATTCACTTAAGTTATAGTAACAAGTTTCATTAAAAAGTAAAGCCATGCTTTAAAGCCATGAATATTATATTCAAATTTCAAAGGTTTAATTGAGCGCCTTCGGAAGTCTTCCTCAAATAATTTGATTTATAAGAAATCAACGTAGGAAGTAGTGAAGGAGTTATTCCACTAATTGTGGGATTATAGGAAAATATTGCAGAGAAATACATCTATGCAATCTCAAAATATTTGACTGGAGTTCTTAAAAATTTGGGAATACAGCACATACCATTTTTTAAATTAGTTTTAGTTCAAACTATGAAGAAGACTTAAAAGCAATAGGATATTACTAATTGGCAATTATAAGAAAACAAGAGGCAGTATTAATGTATGTTCTGACTACTGTCTACATCTTAATTATTCAAGGATTGTCACAGGAAAACAGATCTCTAGTAGCGAATGAATCGATGCTTAAATAAATAAGTAAAGAGGCTGTATGGATTAGCTTATAAAAGTTAAGTAAAACAGCTGTTGCTGAAGCATCATGGTATGGAAGGTATTTTGCTAGATAAATGATATTAGGGAAGCAACATGATATAATCCAACCTTCTTAACGACCCTGACAGCAAAAGAATATAATTAAGGATTTTAAAGTTAGGAAATATCAGAAATATAAAGAAAAAAGACTAACTGTATTACCTTGTATTGCATCTTATCCCCTTGCATTTATGTGTAATCTCTAATTCTCTATGCGTGTATATATAGTGTTTCCATGGAAACTCTTCATGATTTCCTTTATAGGATGGAAGAAGCTCCAAGAATAACTGCTAATGAAAATTTTTTTTGTCGTCTTTTCATTGTTCAGTGCACGACCCCATTCCTTATTCTCTACAGTGTATTAAATCATGCTCTGAAGAGAGAATGGACAAAATTCTTAATTTTCTCTACCTTTTTCTTTGTAATGTTCTTCCTTATGGTACCCAAAAGCTTCACAACCCTTTATTTATTTTTACAGTACCGTGACAGGTGATATCCCCGTTGTCATTTATTACGAGAGTAAGGGTGGAAAAGTAAGAATACTGAGATTTTAAGTCGAAAGTATACAAAAATGCTGAGTATTCCATATGAGACAGTGAATATTTACAAATGTGCATCGTTGTATGACCTGAATATGTTCAAGCACAGCTCCTTTGGCTTCAATTGCAGATAAAAGTTCTGGGAATTTCTGCACACATTAGATCCTATAGCCTAGTTCGAATTTCCCTTGCTTTGTTTGCTTGAAGATACTAGTGTTAGGGTCTGACATCCCAAGCATTTTTACTCATGTATTCATTAAGGTGTTTAGATCAGTTGCTTCTGCTGCATTGCAGAAGTGAAAGAAACTACAGTAAAGAAAAATTCAGTACTTGCTGCAGCACTGAAACGACTGTAAACTGCTTTTGTGGTAACTAAGGCAACCTGCTCTTCCAAGCAATTGAATTTATATTTATCAACTTTCAGCGAATAGTTGTATGTATATCTTTTTAATGTAAATTTTCAAATTAGTATCTAAAAGAAGGAAAATGAAGAGGCTGAAGTTTGTCTGTGCTTGATGTAGATGACATGACATACATAAATCAGTCACAGATGAGTCATTTGGCTTGGAAGAAGTTAACCTCACATCAGAAAAGAGACAGTCAGTGCACTACTTAATGCTCCTTGATCTTTGTTTTGAAGTTTTGCTTTGATGTATATTCAGTCCTGTGAGAAATGTAACCAGCTTATGCTAGTACTAGCTTTTCCTGTAATATGTATTGCATATAATTATAGAATCATAAACCTATTTAGGGTGGAAAGCAGGTCCTGTAGTCCAATCGCTTGCCCAAAGCTGATCCAATTAGATCAGCCTGTTCAGGTCTTGTCCATTCAAGTTTGTGTCTCCTAGGATTGAAATTCGACAACCCTCCAGTATTTGGACACCCCCATGATAATTTTTTTTCCTCCCTTATACCCCTACTCAGAATTTCCTGTATTGCAATTTATATCTGTAGCCCCTTGTCCTGTGTCTGTGAACCTCCAAGAAGAGTCTGGCTGTGTCTTTTCTATCCTCCCACGTTAGGGAGTTAGAGGGCAGTCAAATCTCTTCCCAGACTTTTGTTCTTAAGGCTGGAGAAACCTGCTTTCTCATTTTCTCCTTATCCATCATGTGCTCCAGGCACTTAACCGTCCTGGCCTTGCTCCAGTATATCAATGTCTTCTTTGTACTGGGAAGCCCAGTAGTACACCTAGTTTCACAAGTGTTGAGCAGAGGAGAGTAATCCCTTTCTTCGTTCTCTGCTGCACTCTTGCTAATACTCAGCCCAGTATGTGGCTGGCATCTCTGCCACAAGGATGCACCGCCAATTCAATGCGTTTTACACCAACATCTGGAAAATATATATTTGAGGGCCTGGAGAACAAGAGACACAAGCTGGAAAGGCTACTAGGGGGCTGCCAAGATGGTTAGGAGTAGGAGTATGTGCTGAGTGAGGAGAGGTGCAGGGATCCGGTTCTGTTCAGAAGGGAAGGCTTGGGATCAGCTGCTGTCTTCCGCTGTCTAACAGGGGTTATAGAGAAGACAGAGCCCAACCCTTCTCAGAGGTGTATAAGAACAGGGCAAGAGGTAACAGTTGCCAGATGTAACATGGAGAGCTTTAATTGGATATAAGGAAAAGATTCCTCACCATGGGAGTGTTAGTGACTGGAACAGGCTGCCGGGAGAAGCTGGGAGCCTCCATCCATGGCTATGCCAGGACTCTGCTGGCCATGGCTCTGAGGAAATGGTCCAAAGTGGAAGCTAATCCTGTTTTGAACAGCTTTAGGACTAGATGATTGCAGAAGTCCCTTCCAATTTAAATCTTTCTATGATTCTTTATTGTGACATTTCTCAGGCTAAAATTTCCTCCATTTTAAAAGCTATATCTTTACTATATTTATCTCCGTATTCTTCAGTGTACCCCTAGTGGAGAAGTGTATGAAAATCATCTGACATACCTTTTTATATGATGAAAAATATTGCTATGCTTTCAGGCTTAACAGCAAGGTACCACTGGTTTTTTGTTCTGGTTTGATTTTTTTTTTATTGCTCTGTTGTGCTTTTTATTAGCTGATCTTTCTTTTTTCTTTCTGGTAAATGTAATGTATTCGGAAGGGGAAAAAAAATAATCTTTTTCAGTGGAAAGGAAGGTTATTGGAAAGGTGAATATAGCACAATGTGGTGCTGAATTCCTAGCATAGGATAATTAGACTTGTAACTGACTTTTCTTTCTTAGAATTACTAGAACATTGGTCCAGGAAGCCCACGTGCACGCATGCACGTGTGTGTGTGTATCTTGAGTAGCAGAGTGCTACTACTACTTTGAGAGGTTGCTTTAGGAAGACTGTAACTTTTGGATAAGGTAGAAGGTTATTACAGGGAATAGCAGGATAAAAAAGGAAATGTACTAATATTGGGCATACTTTATTCATGTGTATTTGAAAGGAAAGGGAAATGATGTCTTTTAAATTAGGAGAATTAACTGCATGTCGTCAGTTAATCATGTACAGATCATCTGAGTGATAGAAAGCAGTCATGCTTGCTTAAAAGATTGTACGTGCTCTGCACCCAACCATCTCTAAAATAAAAGCTGAAATGTATGTTTTACATTTCATAAGAGAACTGTAATACTTAAGATTGTATTTAATGTTCAAATAAACTTGACTTGGTACGTATGGTATATAGACCTACTATTCCATGGTGTTAAAGTTTTTTGTGCATACTGAATGCTTGGATTGTCATTAAAATCGATGAATTCTTTAGACTTTTCTGATTTGGATTTTGGATAACTGTGTCATTCAAAAACTCTTTTTCTCCCAGAATTACTTATGAGATTTCTCATGCTTAAACATGGCTCAGTTATAGCCTTTTTCTTTTTTTTTTTTGGAATTTTTACTCTAAATTAGTTTTTTAGATTATTGTGGGGTCTCCTGGTGACCTTTTCTTCCTTGTTTTCAAAAATGTGTTGTGTTTATTCTTCATCGCATGTTGTTATGATGATTTTAGTAGTTTACTAAATATACATGAGATCCACTGAGAACCTCCTCTGCAAAATCTATGCAAGAGTTTATTTACTGTGAGTGATTTGGAAATTTTCCAGGGAGGATGAAACGTTACTGGAGTTTTGCCATTTCTTGCCTGGCATTTTGTAGGAGCATTTAATGATTAGACACAAAAAATGCTGCAGACCTTCATGGAGAAAATGGTGCACGGATTTGGAAACCTTGGAAGCCAAACAATCAGGCTTCATCGGAGATTATGAAAGAAAGCAGAGATTATCAAGTAATGTTTTTCAGTGTATGGGCAGTACTTCTCCTTCATTGCTATATGTACCTTTTTTTTGGTATATAATCCCCCTATAAAACCTCAAGAATTGAATGAAGCATTTGAAAATCAAGCATAAAATTTGTCTAACAGGAATTGAATCTCAAAAACACCTATCTAGTTTGTCATCTTTTAGATTTAAAAAAAAGTCCCTGAATGTAACATCTCAATTTTCAAATACTTCATCGCAGAAGGTTAATGTAACAGCAATAATCTAATTTAGTCATGATTCTGTTTTACTTGAGACCTTAAATAGCTACCATTTACTGAAGTAATCCTCTTCACAAGTTCATCACTAATTTCAGACATTATTGCTCCTCCTATGGAAAGGGTGTTTTTCTATTTATTAATGTTATTTTTACCCTTTCTTTAAATTTAGACTTAAAAGAAGTTGGTCTTGTCAGTGTATTTTATGCCTGTCAACTTCATAGTCCGTTTAGTTGCTTTCATACTGTAAATTTCTATCTCTTAAAATGCTTTACTCTGACTTCTTGATTTTCTTTTATTTTTATGGTTGCAACCCTATTCATTATGTAAGATTATTCTAATGGCTCATAACTGCTGAGCATGTGTTCACTGTCCATCTTGCAGACTGATGGTGGTGATCTTTTTTATTTTTTCCAAAATTGCTATGATCTTTGTTTTGATTAGAACTTGAGGTCAGTCTCTGAGGGAGAAGATATGCAATATTTTGTCTGATGACCAAACCATTGCTTGCTTACAGCCTTTATGGTCTGTTTTGGTCTTTCTTGTGTCCGTGCATACATGAACGTAGCAGTTCCAATGTCTTTGTGTGTCCAGGCAGAGTGCCTTCCACTAGTAAGAGGCTGAAAAGTTTTATTAGTAAAATAAAAATAGCACACTAGACAAGTTCTAATTTAGCTGCAGTTATAATACTGTTTATCCGTGGACAGATAGTCCAACTTTCCAAAGTTAAAACTGATGTTTCATTTTACACTGAACACTTCAGAAATGTGTGTGTGTGTGTATATCATACATTTTAATAAAGCATTTGCCATTATACAAAAAGTGACTTAACTGCTAAGACCAGCAGACAGAATACGGCTGAAATGGAACTACAGGTAATACAATACTACTGAAGGAATTGTACTTCTGATTCATGAGCCAGGTCTTCTAAGATCTCAAATGTGGAACTAATGAGAAATATCACTTTAAGATGAAGGAATGAAACAAGGAGTCAGGCTTGAGTTGGATGTTTTTCATGACTCTAAATACCACAGATTATTTACCTAGTAAGTGAAGGTAGTTTAGTGTAATCTTGAAAAAAGTACAATATAAGTGCAAAATAAGCATGCAGAAAACATTGATTCTCAATATTGCTCAGACGTGGCAAC